AACTTTTTTTTTTTTTTGTAAAGATAATTGGCTGAAATTTTTTATGACAGTAATTGTTGCCTTATTATTTTTGAACACTTTTTTTTTCAAAAATGAAAAAAAAAGTTGTCTTTATTAATTGCTGAAACTGCAAAACAAAAATTGCTGATAAAATTATCTAAACTAAAATTTAGACATTAAAAATCAAGAGACGTTCATCTTTTTTTTTGACAAATATTTCAAAATTTGTATTTGATAAATCAGAAAAATTGGGTTTTTGTTTTTTATTTTGGCTAAAAAAATTGTTAATAATGGTAGAGGTGGTTTAACTATTACCAAATGACTGCAAAAAAAATAGCTGTTAAGATTTTCAAAAAAATGACCCATATAAATTACAACTGCTTCGGTTAAGTGATATATGAAGTAAAAGATTTTTGTTTTTGTACAGTCAATGACTACAGTTTTTTTTTTGTTTTACAAACCTTATAATCTGGATTGAAGACTCAATTGAAGTTTGTAGAAAAGCGATTTTTAAATATTAAAAATTTTTTTCTTCTCGAAAAAAATCACATTATTACACCTTCAGAGTGTCAAATTATTACTAAAATATATTATTTTACAGCAATAACAACAAAAAAATATAAAAAAAACAGTAAAAAAGCAATAAAAACTCATCATAAATATAAAAGATTTTCAACAGTAATTTTAAAAGCAATAAAATTTTTAAAGCATTTCTGTTTTAGCTTTTTTTTTTTCTAATTTAACAACAATAGCGCAATTGAAAAGGTCTTAAAAATGTTGCTTAATTTAAAGACAAATTTAACAGAAAAAAAATTTATTTATGATATAATCAAAAAAAAGAATCAAAAAAGCTAAAAAACAATTTTTTTTTGTGGCAGATTAATACTTGTTTTCAAAAATCAAAAATTCTGTTTAGCTTAGGTTGCTGAACAAAAGATAAGCAGAAGTTTGCACTTTAATAATTAAATGAAAGTTTAGAAAATAACAAGAGATCTATTTATAATGATAAGCTAATTCTAATAAAATTTTAGGTCTGAAAATCATCATCGACAGGTGGCATTCCACTGTATAAATACTGTCAGCAGTTTGAAACTGTGGCAAAAAATCTGAATTACAGCTCTGCAGAGTTTAATAGTATAACAGATGACATACTAAATTGAAATCAACGTTTAAATAGTTGATTTTGAAGTCTTGAAACACACATTTCTTTGTGAAGTAAATGAAGAAAATGAGATTCAGTTTAGTGGTACAAAAAAAAAGTAATGTTGTCGATAAAAACTAATTTCTACTGGGCGTTCTATAAAAGGTTAAATGTTTATAGCAATAAAAATTTAACTTTTTTGCAGTCACCTAGTTTCTTGCAACACAGCTAAACACCTTATGAAACAACTACTTTTGTTGCTTTTTTTAAATATTTTATTTCTCTCAGGTTATTAAGCCATTTTTGATACATTTTTCAAGGGAATATTTCGCTGCTTTTAGAGAATTAACACAATTTTCAATTTTCTTCTTGTGAGAAAAGAACGAGTGCTGTTGACGCAACAAGGAAAATTGATGTTAAGTAATCTTTCAGAGGAAAGCTGCCAGATTCTGAAATGAGAATGCAGTATTTGCACTAGCTGTAGAACTTGTCGGCAATAATTAGAAGATGATTTACACTTGAAATTGCCACAGCCGAATAAAGCACTGTATTCAATGATAACCAATTAACTGTTTTTTTTTTTTTGTGGTATGTGAGTAAGGTAAAAGAACTGTCTGAGAACATTAGACACAGATTGAGCTAAGTGATAAGAGAAGAATAAAATAATTTATCATTTTAGGTAGAACTTATAATGAGTAGAAAATTGATCAATTTTTAGTCTAATTATTCGTTGGCTGTGTTCATAAGTGGTTTTGGCTAATAGACACAAATGGCATTCTTAGCATATGCATGCCAGTTAAGCATCTGTTTGAATGGTGAAAAAATCGGATACTGATTATCAAAAAGCACCATGATTTTTGTTATTTAGTTTCTAAACTTTAATTCGAGTTTTTCAAAATTGGATTCTTCACTCTTCACATTGTAGAGCTTACAATCATCTGTTTGAAACTTATCTTCAACTTTTAAAAATTGTCTAAAATCGTTAAGACTGAGAAAAGAATTTCTTCTTCATCAGCTGAAGTATTTTATAAACATTTATGACATACACTACCCAAATTTGGTTTAAAAAACACTGTTTCTATTGGTATCTTAGATTACCAGTGCTGTATAAAACACCAAGGTTACAGAAACACTAAATCTTAAAACACCACAAATTTGAAAAGAAGTTAAGTAAAACTTATAAAAGATCTAATATATAGTAATCAGAACTTTATATGTTTAATGTCTCTCAGACAGAACAGTAGCAATATAAACAGCATTCTTTTTTTTCTTTGAAAAATATAATGATAATTTTTTGAACATTATTTAATGATCCAACAAAGGAGTAGCAGATTATTGACACATAATTTGAGTGGTGAAATGTCATCTAATTAAGACATTTTGGAGATTAGCAATTTTAGACGTGTTAATTTATTTGGCATTTCCTTTACAACAGCCAAAAAAAAGATTGTCTTT